AGTATTTAAAAAATTAAGATCTGAGACCAGGTGGTGGTGGCTGGCTCTCCCTTATAATTCCATCACTTGGGAGGCTCAAGAAAGCAGAATTATTGTTGAGTTTCAGGATCTTCTGGGCTAAAGAGTAAGAGCCTCTCTCAAAGACCAAAATAAAGAAATTAATAAAAACAATTAAGATTTCAGTCTATCTCTTATACTCCTTTGCACTCCCTTGAAATGAAAATATTAAAACATACAACAGAATAAAAATGAATAAGTATGAAAGTAGAAAGTTATCAAAGACAAAGATACGTGCCTATCTGGGGTTTCTGGGTAGAAAGCTGCTCAGCAGATTAAATGAAGCAGAGGCAAACTATAATCTAGAATACAGACAAGAGGCAACTTGTGAAGTGGAAACAAAGGAAGTAAAAGAGCTATGTTACAGAACAACTTCCTCAACCTTCCTCTGGTGATGAAGGGCCTCAGCCTTTCTTCTCAATTCAAACAGCAAAAACTGAGCCCGGCGGTGGTGGTGCACGCCTTTAATCCCAGCACTGGGGAGGTGGAGGCAGGCTTAAAAAAAAAGCAAAAATGGTCTGGGGAGATGGCTCAATCCACCTGAGTGCCTTAGCTCATCTCTAACACGTGAAGAGGCAGGCGCAGCAGCAGCACATATCTGTAATTCCAGTGCTGACCTGGGCAGGCACAGGCACTTAACTTCTGTCAGCCAGCCTAACTGAATGAATGAGCTCCAGCTTTGATGAGAAACTCAGGAAGAGAGCCGTCTTAGTTAGGGTTTCTATTGCCACAGCAAAACACCATGACCAAAGAGCGAGGGCTTATTTGGCTTACACTTCCAGATCACAGTCCTTCATTGGAGGAATCCAAAGTTCCTACTCAAGCAGGACAGGAACCTAGAGGCAGGAGATGATACAGAAGCCTTGGAAGGGTGCTGCTTCCTGGCTTACAAGCTCCCTATACCTTGCTCAGCCTGCTTTCTTATAGAATCCTGGACACCAACCTGCCCAGGGATGGCACCACCCACAATGGGCTGGGCTCTCCCACATCAATCACT